ATAAATTTTTCTGCATTGCAAAAATGCAAATAGTACTGGTTTCTTCAATACCTGCTTTGAAAAATAAAAAACATGTAGTCTTTCGATAGAGTTTTTAAACAACCAGTTTCAAGAAAGCAGTTTATTTTTTTTTAATTAAATATGAAAACTTACCGGCAGATAGTTTCGAAAAAATTTGGTTTTTCGAAAAAAAAAATATGGATAACAAATTAGACAACTATTCAATTAACACTCAACAATTTTTTTTTTTAACTTTTATAATTTTATAAAAACGTTTGTAATTTAAAATTTCTTCTATATTAACCTTTTGTTATTTTTCAAATTAAGAAATAACTGTCGTTACGCGCATAAAATAATTTCACTTTGAATAAAAGATTTGTAAACAAACATTTTTTACAAAAAATGAATGCCGGTATCACCAGCAATTTAAGTAAGAAATGATTTTTTCTCTTCTATCAGTTTTCATACTAAATTCAAATCGTTTTTCACCTAAATTGCTTCCGTGCAACTTTTTTTGATTTGAATAATTTTCTCAGTATTTAAAAAAAAACATTTCATTAATTCTTTCCCTTTTTGCTCTTTTCCAAAGAAAGAAATAACTTTTTTAAGATTTTTTTATATCAATAATTTGTTCAAGATTTCAAAAAATCAATCGAAAATCTATATCCTCTTTCATTTTTTCTGTTTGTAATTTCCTAAGTAAGAAATAACAGAATACCTAATAATTTTAAAGGAAATTTAAAATTTTCAAACAAATATATTCTAATTAAATCAAAAATTGATATTAGGGGTTAGGTTTGAAATTTTTTCAAATTTAATTAGATTTTTTGCACATAAAAAAATATATCGAATATCTGTACTCACTTCTCCATATTTTTTTTGTTTGTTTTCCTAATTAAGAAATAAATAATTTTACCAAAAAATGAAAATTTCAAGCACAAATTTTCTAAATTAAGTTAAAACTTAAAATAGTTAATGTTTGAGGGTTTTTTTTTCAATGCTAAATGTTTTTCTATGTTTTATAAAATTTGCTGTCCTAATGTTACGTGATTTGTTTTTCCACTTTGCTTATTCCAAGTCTCAAGAGTAAATAATTCCTTTTAGGAACCTTTACTCCAAAAAGCCAACAATACGTTTTTATTTTGTTATTTTAGTTTTGCAAATTTAGTGTTCTAAGTTCCATTTATAAAAATGCCATAAAGATTAATTTTTTCAAAACCAACAATGTTCTAAAAGTGAACACATAACATTATGTACATACTTATATAAACATAGTTATTTTTCGTCACTCATCTCAATTGAAATCTCTCTCTTTCGTTGCAGAAACTCTTCATTGCCGCCACTCTTGCCTTGATCGCCGTCGCTTCGGCTGACGTCAGCCATTTGTCGAGGTCATACCTGCCACCTGCCCCAGCTCCAGCTCCACAATACTTGCCACCCTCCAGCAACTATGGTGCACCATCTTACTCCTCAGGTGGCATCGGCGGCGGTTCATACTCGTCGGGTGGATCCCTTGGTGGCTCATACTCGTCGGGTGGTTCCCTCGGTGGGTCATACTCCTCAGGCGGTTCCCTAGGTAACTCATACTCGTCGGGTGGTTCGCTCGGTAGTGGATACTCATCNACTTGGTGGTTCCCTTGGTGGCTCATACTCGTCCGGTGGTTCCCTCGGTGGGTCATACTCCTCAGGCGGTTCCCTAGGTAACTCATACTCGTCGGGTGGTTCGCTCGGTAGTGGATACTCGTCGGGTGGTGCCCTCGGTGGCTCATACTCTTCAGGTGGATCCCTGGGTAANCCTTGGTGGCTCATACTCGTCGGGTGGTTCCCTCGGTGGGTCATACTCCTCAGGCGGTTCCCTAGGTAACTCATACTCGTCGGGTGGTTCGCTCGGTAGTGGATACTCATCGGGTGGTGCCCTCGGTGGCTCATACTCTTCAGGTGGATCCCTGGGTAACTCATACTCTTCAGGCGGTTCCCTTGGTGGCTCGTACTCTTCAGGTGGTTCGCTAGGTGGCTCATACTCATCCGGAGGTGCTGGTGGTTCATACTCATCGGGTGGTGGTTCCTCGTACTCTGCCCCATCAAATGAATACTTGCCACCTGTGCAAAGCTACTCACCACCAGCTCCAGTCTACTCTGCTCCTGCACCCGCTCCAGTCTACTCGGCTCCATCATACTCCTCAGGTGGTAGTGGTATCAGTTACTCCAGCGGCGGTGATGGTGGTTCTTACTCTAGCGGTGGCTCATACTCAAGCGGTGGCTCTTCTGGATACTCTGGTCCATCTAACACGTACTTGGCTCCAGCGGCGCCCAGCTACTCAGTGGGAGGTCCTTCATACTCGTCGGGTGGTTCCTCTTACTCATCGGGTGGTTCATCGTACTCTGGCGGCGATGTTGGTACCCAGTATGCTTCGAACGGTGGATACATCTACAGAAAGAAGTAAATCGATTGGAACTGTGATTAGTTAAACTGTGTTTGTGCTGTTTATGAGGTCCTTAGCAGAAACAGTGTTTACCGTTAAATTGCTGAAGGTACTTCATACTTACAAGTTAAAAACAACCATCTCATTACATGTTGTAAATAATTCTCTTGTTTTATTAAATATATTTTTGTTTAAAAAAGATTATTTTAATGTGTTGATTAATTTGAAAACTCTGTTCTGAAGTAATAATTTTAAATTGAGCACTTATTTATGAGGCAGTGATGATGTACTTCTCGGCATCAATACAG